TGATTTAGTTATTTGTTATCAAAGATAATTTAATGAAAATTCAAATACAGTGATTACTTCTTTTTAGTAAAGTTCCTTAAAATTTATATTCTTTGGAATGTATACTACAAGTTCAAAATAAATAGTTTTTAGTAGAAGAAACAAATAACTATATTATTTAACTATCTTTTTTAATACAAAACATTATAGTCTGGTTTAAAGATCAACTACTACCACCACTCTTTAATTTATCTGTTAGCAAAATTTTATACTACTTTGATTGATCTTAGAGGTGTCATCCTATTAAATTTCAAAATCATTATCTGGCTAAATATGTATCAACAAATCCATCTTTTAATTTGATCATATTAGTTTTAAAATTCTTCTTAGACTTGTATTATGATAATTTTGAAACTTTCAAAAATGTATACCATTTACTAGGCAGTGTCTATCTGCAAATTGGCAATATGTTATATCAAATGAAAAAGCAGTTACATAATCACTTTGTTATCAGGTTTGTACTCTTCAAAAGAAATATTTAAAATTTTATTAAATCTTTTCTTGAGGAAGTCAAAAAACTTGAACAGAAATTTATAATAAACTTAAATAGAATTGATTATTGGATAACAGATAGATTAAGGGTTTTTATAACAGATTTGTCTCAGAGCAATAATATTTCTGAAACATTATACTATAATGTATATAAAGGCTGTCAAATATGTAAAGCAACTAAGAATCAATTAACAAGTTTTTCATTTGATATTTATTATCTAATTGATATTACTAAATAACAGATCAAGTGTTTCAACTTATAAATCAACAAACTTCAAAAAATGCAAAAATCAAGACTTTGCTCTTAATATGGATTATAATCTTTATTTGAGTCATTAGATTCAATTTTGTATGATTGACATTTGCATATTCCACAAGATGTATATCATGAAATTGCTGAAAAAGTAGCTCAGTTACTCAATTGTATTTGTTTAATTTTAATAAAATATAAAAAAACTAATTTAATTAACTACTAGAAAAATTTTAAGTTCCTGCACAATGGTCTCATTTATTAAATCTGATTACTTATTGATATTTATTTATAATGTCAGATAATTTAAGAATTCTTATAATTTTTTTTTTATTCTAAAATGTTGTTTAACTATTAATAGTATTAAGGATAATTTTTTAAAATCTATATATGATAAATTACACTTTTCTTATTGATCAGAAGTATGAGATTATATTATTCATACTTGGGTACTTTCTGCAAAGATGACTAAAGAGGTGTTTTCTTCAAAAATATAGCACTCTAATGGATATCCTTTCTTACAAACTATTTTGAATGAAGAGCTTAATACTTTAATTAAATTAAATGTTTATAATTTAATATTTGATTTAAAATTTAACAATAAAATATTAATTTATTTTGTTATAAGCTTTTTTCTTACAGTTTTAAGAATCTTTCTAATCTATATATAAGCCACTATTTAGTAAACCACACTTATTAATATGTGATTTGTATAAATTCAGCTGTTGGTACAAAAGAAATAATATACTGAATATTTAAAGCAATTGTTCCACACACTAACAAGCATAATCTTGAACTTGTTTTATTAAAGCAAATTAATACATTATAAACTTAAAACATCTTGTAGATGACAGCCTAAATGATTGAATGCCTTATTATTCAACATGATTGATTTTATGCTACTAATTACTGCACCACAACTTCACTCTTTATTATCTAGTTGGTACATTAATAACTATAGCTTATCATTGCACTATTTCAATGATATTTTCAATCAATTACAAATTGAAGATAAAAATAAATACTATTTTTTTTTACTGGATTAAATTAGATATAACTATGATCACATGATAAAAAACAAAACAATAGCATTAGTAATAATTTGAGTAATTGTAACTTGGTAAAAATAAAAAATTTTTTTATTATATACTTATTGATCTTTTTTTTTTTTTAGATAATTCAAATAATATTACCAATTTCGTATTTTTTAATCATTTAGAAATAAAATTAAGATTAAGATAAAATAGAAATCAAATTAAAGCAGCAGGATTTACATAAACAAATATCAAGACAAATAGCTTATTGAAAGATATCATAAGAGCATATTCATTATATTACTTATTTGATTAAATACTGTTGAAAATGTGAATTCATTTTTATGAAAAATATCTTATATAATATCTAAACCTGATGGTGATTATCAAAATGTGAAGTTGAAAGTTGGCGAAATAGTTGAGGCTACACTATTTGGTAAAAACAAACAAAAGTTTGACAAAATAATTAACATAATCGAACATTTATGGAATAATAATCAAGTGTATGTTTTTCTTTGTTTTGATTGGCTAGAAAGTTTTAACAGATGGGATTTATTGTTAGATTGTCCAATATACCGCATTCAACATTTACGTAATAATCCTTTGAATCAGGTTCATCCAATTTCTGTAGTATCATTATCTTCCCATATTCTCTTTATTCACTATTGTAAGCCAAGCTGCTCTTTTCAGCCATATGATACTACAAATAATGAGTATATTCGAAATGATTTCTTCTTTGTAGCAATTTAGAATAGAATTATACAAAATAATTTTTAGATTGTATAGTGGATCATGTAATACATATGTTATTTGGCGGGTTCTTCGTATTACTTTTATATTCACAATTTATATTATTAGCCAATCAAAAAGGCAACATAATAAAATCCTTTATTATCGATTGTTATTAAACCAATATAATCATTATTAAAGTTTTAATTAATGCTATTGTGCTGCTATATTATTTCTAAATTATTTGTTTATTAGTTTATTACTAGCACGATTAACGAGCTTGATGATAGGATAATAAGTATCTAAAAAAATTCGAGTATTAGGCTTGCATAAAAATGTAAGATTTCCGTAAAGTAACTTTTCTGTTCAAAATTCTAATGATTAATAAATGTTCTTTATACTCACCGAATGAATCATTAATGCAAATGAAATGATTTGAAGGGTATTACATATTAGTAATAGTAAATAAGTATTTATTTCATGATTTGTGAACTTACATTACTGTTCAAAATTCCAATATTAATAAATGTTCTTTACACTTGCCAACTGAATGAATGATTAATGCGAATGAAATGATTTGAATGGTGAATAAGTATTTATGATCTTAATTTGTGAACTTGCTTTTCTGTTCAACTTCCAAGATTAATAAATGTTCTTTATACTTAACGACTGAATGAATGATTAATGCGAATGAAATGATTACATAATAGTAATGGTAAATAAGTATTTATGTTCTTGATTCATGAACTTGCTTTGTTGTTCAAAAACTTCAATAATTAATAATGTTCTTTATACTTACGGGCTAAATTAATACAAGCTATTAATTAATATTTATGAACTTAATTGTAATTAACTGATTTTTTTATACTTACTCCCTAATAAATAAATTTAATTATTAAAATTCTATAAAAATATTTTCAATTTTTAAATTACTAAAAATTGAAAAATTTACTTTTGTTAAACTTAATTACGTTTTTTTCCACGCCAATTCCGTAATAGTAACAGAAAACTGTTTTTCAAATTCCATTTAAATTACTCGCTTTGACTGATTTCAGATAATTTTCGAATGCCTTTTGCTCATTAACTTCAACTCCAATTCCTAAATTATAACAATAACCAACGTGATACAGTCGGTCTGGATTATTAAGGTTGGCGGAATTAACGAATGCTTCGTTTTCATTCTTTTCAACCCTATTCCAAATTCGTAACGGTATCCAAGCCAATAATTACTGTTTGCTTCATTTTTATTTGCAAATTTTTTAAAATTATTGAAATTTAGTTGTTTAAAAGTGTTGTTAATTTCTTGTTCCATTTGAATTTGCAAAAAAAAACACATTAAAAAACCAGATTTAGTAGCATCCAAATTAGCATTAGTGATTTTATGACAATCATACAGCTAAACCTGGTATAAATTGTTTAATTAAATTTTCTTTATTATAGAAGAAAAATAATTATTGTTCTCGCTATATTGCCATGCTATTTGAGATAATCTTAACCTTGCTGAATTTTTTAAATTAACTCTAATAAAAGTAATAAATAGTTATTAATAGGCAGATAACATATATTCATCAGACGGAATGCCAAATAAATGTTCAATATTTTTAGATCTAAACTTATTCTATAGAAATTTACCAATCAGCTCATACAACTTTTTTTTTTAAATCAATCATTTAACTCAATTAAAAGTCAACCCCACAATCGAATAATAAATTAAACTATCGAGCAGTTAATGCCCCAATGCCTGCATACAAAAATAAAATTAAAATGGTATATTTTTATTATAATAAAAAATGAGCTATGTAATCGAAACAAAGATCATCGTGCAACAATCACTCACATGACATGAAAAAAATACGATAAATACAAACTGAATTCGATAAAATTTTTTGGAGAGCGTATGCTCAGATAGATCCGAGAATTCAGATCAGTTCAGATAGTTCATCCAATAAGACAATAATAAGATTTTTTCACAAAAATCTTTCCTGCTTTAGTTAAAAAGAAAAAGTGGTTGGTCATGCAACTCAATTTCAAAACAAACACATGAACAATCACTCCCACAATCAGAAATGATTAGAGTTTCGTCACCTTTCGTCATTTCGTCATTTCAATTTTTTTTTTGACGAAACTCTTCGGTTTGTCTAACGACATTAAACTGAACGTACCCTAAATGAAAATTTGTAATTGGTACGCATCTGTAGTACATTTAGGTTAGGGTCATGCGATTGGTTCATGTCCGTAGAGCAGGGGCCCGGAGAAATATCGATTAATTTTAGCAAAAATATGGTCAAAAATATCGATTTGGCCTGATCATACTTTTCAAAACGATCTAATTCTGGTCAATTCTGCAGATTACTTATCAGTTTTAAAACTAATAAACCAGGCCCAAATGATCTGCGGATTTGTCCAGAATTAGATCATTTTGAAAAGTATGACAAAAAAATCGGCGAAATTTCACCTCATCCTTGATCATCTTTCGTGATTCTTGAAGTTCTAATCGAAATATTTTTACCTATATTTAAGTGCCAAATTTACATTACCAGCTTATTTCTTGATTTTTTCCTAATTGTGTATGTTACGCTGCATTAAACCTTGCAAGATATCGATTTCCCTACGATATGGCCTAAAAATATAGATTTATATTGATCTAAATAAAATCAATATTTTTCCATGTTCCTGCCATAGAGGAAAAGTCTACGGATAGTACTTAGAGACAGAACTTTCCCAGTATCACCATAAAATTTTGTAGTCCAGTAATAATTTTGTTGCGCAAACAAATCAGATTCAAGATCAGGTGTAATTTAACACGATCAGAAAAATTCAAAACAAAAGTTCGTTTAGTCAAAATAGCACATTTCTCGAAAATCTGTATAAGAAATAGCCTTTGGTGCACTAAGTAGATTTTTTTCTTGATCGATTTTACTATATACTATACCAATGTTTACCCGTTATATAGACGCTAACCCTGACCTTAGCAAACTTTAAAAAAAATTTACCGATGTGCCATATACGCAAGATTTTTGGTGGCGATAGCTAAGGTCCAAACTGGCGGGCTGGCCGGCGGGCCAGAAGTGTTTGATTGGATAAAAAAAGTTGAGATTATCATTATTGTTAAATAGCCATAATTAGTTATCGTTATTGTTCTATTTATATTTTGTTTAGTAAGTAAATTTTTTTTACTATGAACGAAGTTAACGATTTATTGAGTATGAATAATATAATATCTACATTAGAGTTTGGTTTGCGACTTACCTGAAGCACGTAAGTAATAAAGTATCTTGTTTTTTTCAAAATAAAGTTGTTAATTTCAAATATAAATATTGAAAGCGAGGTTACATTTCAATGAATAGGGTTCAGCTATATTAAAGCTTGACCTTGTCGCATTTCTTGAACTAGATGTGCGATGTTTTTTGTAATTACTCTTATTATTATAGTTAAGTTTTCAATTTAATGCGCATAAATATTGAAAGCATATTAATCTTGTATTGTATGATGAAAAAAAGAAGAAATTATGGTAGTTTAGTAATTTATACATACATAATTATGTATTTAAGGACCTGATTCTGACTGTTAAATAAAATCTCAGATCCTTTTGATCAATTTTCCTATCTTGTCTGTTTATCGAAAACTTTTTATACAAGTACTATTATAGTATCATGATCACATAGTCAAATCTCATCATTATTGCCTCATCGTGAATACATCTTCACGATCTTACTGATTGATTTACCATTTGACTTATACTCATCCTTAAAACATCGTTAAGTCACTTAACAATCTATTTAATTAATTATTTATCTTGATCACTCTTAAATTATTACATCAATTTATTATATTAACCTTGGATTAACTACCGGCATACCGATATCAACGCCCATATAACCTTAATATAATATTTATTTTTATCTTACACACCTTCTATTCGACTCTTATCCCCTTCGTTCACTATCACTGACCTTAACCACGGCACCCTTATTATCTGAGATCTCTCGAAACCAATAGTAACATTGCCATTTCCCCGACACCGTAATGTTGACATGCTTATATCATATACAGCACATTTTTTCGATAAGACATACAATATATGGGTAATTATTTTTGAATCCAGATCAAAATGTTATTATATTAGATATAAAATTGGTCCGAGTTCAAAAATAATTACTCATATTTGACATTCTTAAACAAGACATTTCTCCGACAATCATTCCTCGACATAAAATTGACCTGATTTAGCTTTAGGGTTAGCCGATTTAGAGTTATTGTTGATTAGAATTATATATCGGAGAATAATTTTCGGGACAATTTCTTGACTAAGAAAAAGATTTTTGAAAACATGTACTGTCAACTATATGTCTTATCAAAGAAAATGGGTAGTAGATGAAATAGCATGTCAGCATTATGGTGTTGAGGACATGTGAATAACTTTCGGGAAATCGTGCTGTAGCCACATTATAGAGGCGTGGAGAACAGGAGGAAACGTTGATGTTACACAATTGATTTTACACGCGGTGTGAAACACATAAAAATATTATTTTACAATACTTGAAAAATCTTGATCAGTCCGCTAGTATATGTTATGATTATAATCATAACATATACTAGCGGACTGATCAAGATTTTTCAAGTATTATAAAATAATATTTTTATGTGTTTCACACCGCGTGTAAAATCAATTGTGTAACATCAACGTTTCCTCCTGTTGGCGTGGAGTCTTGAAATGCCCGAAAACCAATCAATTTTTTACATCGGATTAAATATGTAAGCATTACTTATATGGGTATTGCGGAGTGAAAACCTGTAATTGTACTTAATGATCTATGCTAAGAAAATGATCATACTAATTACTCATTTTTCGTTATTTTTCGCTATCTATGATTTGACGCGATCACGTGAAATATGTAAATTATTGCTATTGGAACTAAATTAGGCAATGCACATACGTAACTGTGAATTCTCTCCTAACAATAACAATATGCATGCGGACTATCAATACTTATACAGGATTTTGTATATATAATTTTAACGTAAATGACCTGTGTAATTTTCGCTTTGTTTTTGTTTTTTCTTTGTTTAACCTATTCAAAATGATATTCTTACCAAACGAATGCCTTTTTGAAATATTTAATAACCTTAAAAATAATTATAGATTCTTATTTTCATGCCTTCTTGTAAACCGTCAATGGTGTAGAATTATTGTTCCAATATTATGGAGTGAACCATTATTACATTGTTATAATAAAAAACTAATTAGAATATATCTTTTATCATTGAATAACAAAGAAATCACCTCATTAATTCCATTAAATATATTACTTCCAAATTATTCAAAATTATTATTTGAATATACTTCTTATACTACATCAATCGATTGTGATAATTTAAAAAGAGGAATTGTAGATTGGTATTCCTATGAAGGATATGAACCTATTAATACATTTAATTATTTTGAAAGATATCAACAACCAGTTCAAATAGTTAAATATTCGATAATTTCTATGTTATTAAGAACAAGTGAAAAAATTAAACATTTTGATATAGATGAACTCAATGATAATGTTGAAATTATAAGAATATTAGTAGAAACTCTTTATAAAAACTCAGTTATCACTTCTTTAAATCTTTCTGATTTGATATTTAGTTTTATAGAAATAAAAGCACTATCAGATGCTCTTTGTATAAATACTTGTCTAACTTCATTAAGATTATCTTATTGTGAACTTGGTCCTGAAGATATAATATTATTGGCAGAGGCACTTTGTAAAAATTCAACCTTATCCTCTTTAGATATTTCCGATAGTAATCTTAGTGATGAAGGAGTAAAGGCACTTTCAGAAATTCTTTATAAAAATGTTACATTGACTTCCTTAAATATTAGCTATAATCATTTTGGTCTTGAAGGTGTGAAAGCACTTGCGAATGCACTTTATGAAAATGTTACTCTGAATTCTTTGGTTCTTGATGGTAATAACCTTGGTATTAATGAAGGCGAAATATTAGCAGAAGTTCTTTGCAGAAATACTACTATAACCTTATTAAGTCTTTATAATAATAGATTTGGTTTCAAAGGAGTAAAATTGATTTTAGAGGCACTTTACGAGAATACAGTTTTAAATCACTTAAACATTGGAGGTAATAAAATTAGTTTGGATGGAGTAAAAGTGATAGCAAAAACACTTTCTAAAAATACCACTCTAAAAGATTTATGCCTTTATTATAATCGGATTGATTCTAAAGGAGCAGAAATTTTAGCCGAAGCTCTTTGTAAAAATTCCAATTTAAGTTCCTTGAATCTTAGCAGTAATCTAATTACTTTTAATGGTATAAAAGCACTATCAGAAGCTCTTTATAAAAATACTACATTAACTTCCTTAAATTTTGGAAATAATAGATATTCATTTGTTGGGATAGAAGCATTATCTCATGCCATTTGCAATAATAACACTTTAACTTATTTAGATCTTTCCAACAGTAATTTTAATTTTGAAGGAATAAAGGTATTAGCGGATGCACTTTGTAAAAACACCACTTTAACTGATTTAAATCTTTCTCATAATAGTTTTGCTTTTAAAGAAGGGAATATATTAGTAGAGGTTCTTTGCAAAAATGTTGCTTTAACTTATTTAGATCTTAGTAATAATTATCTTGGTTATAAAGGAGTAGAAATATTAGTCAAAGCACTTCATATGAACACTACTTTAGTTAATTTAAATATTTGTTATAATCAACTTAATTCTAAAGAATATCAAACGTTGGTAAAAATTGCTTATAATAATAATACCAAAATTTCATTACATTTTGAATTTTAAAGTTTTAACCTTATAAATTAATAAAGTTATAAATTAATTTAGATAAGTATACAAATATTGATTATTTTAAGCTAAAGGTATTACGAAAATTGGTTAGTCTTTGGACTAAAAACAGATTAATCTATTTTATAACCATTTAATGATCTATACCCACTAAGCAAATTAATTGTAAATCATAATATTACCTAACAATCGAGTCAGATTTTAATGGTGATTTATTTCTTCATTGGGTTCTATTTCTAGGGCCGTTATTTGCTTTTGTAGTTTGACTTGGCTCGGCTCATGTCTCTAATTTGGGATATAACTATTAGATCTACGACTTGTAAGGATTGGAACAGTATAACCTCACAAAAATTGATTCGTAATATTGAACAGAGTCATGTTATCATGAGTAAAAATTATTCAATACTAGTTAAATTCAATGCTTAATATATGAATAAATGGTTTTTCTGTGCTATATTAGATTAGCATAAGCTATAGTTTTAAACAATACCATGATTCTAAATTAACGGTTAGATTAGGGTTAGGATTCAACAAATTAAATAACAAAATCATTTAATAAAATCTTTATATTAAATACGCTATTTGAGAAATAGGTACTGTACATACGAAAAGCACCATTGTAACCGATCCGACAAGAAAACTTTCAAAATCTACTAGAGTTTTTTTTTTAGCTTTTAAATTTTTTTTTCTCAAGTTTATTTTTAATATTTTTCTTCTTCAAATGAAAACTATGACATATAAACAATAAGCCAAATTTTGTGCCTTGACCACCGAATTATTTTAATAAACTGTAAAACATAAATGATATTAAATATATTTTTAAAGCGTAGATGGTAGAGAAAGGGAGTACCAAACACAGAAAAATGAAATAAATGAAAAGCAATACTTATATCATCTTTTTTAAAGTTTGAATGCACATATGTTTTAACCTTATTATCTGCATAGAAAGGTTCAATGTTATTGTTTTTTTTTCTGTATAAATATAAATAGACATACAGTCACCTTTATAACGGAGCTGACGGTTCTTATATTAAAGTGTTCCTTATAAAGTAATTTGCTGCATTTCTATAATACGTAAATCAGCGGATATATAATAACTAGAGGTGCAGACATTTTGAGATAACGGAGTTGTAGTATTATAATATGTCGTCGTACGTTGTAGTAGAAATAGTAAGTAGTAAATAATAATGTTGTAGGTAGTAATATAAGTAATGAATGATTTAATGTTTATAATATTTAATTAATAATGAATATTGAATTTACCAAGATCTTGAGTTCGAACTGATCCAGAACATTTATATTTCATTTTTATATCTTTTTTTTTTTTAAAAAAAAAAAAGTTTCTTATATTTTATCGACTTTTTTTAATACATTGTCAAAAAAAGTTGTTGAGTACGCCAGGTAAAGAAAAAAACAATGAAGAAGCCTCGCGATCAATAAACTAAACATACGAAATACACTATTTTTAATTGAAAGATAGTATAGAAGTATAAATAAAACTGGTGAATAAATCAATTATTGTCCACTCCGCGGGCAATAACATACATAATATTAATCACATCTGTAAACTTGGATTATTTGTCTAAAGATTTAGTAAATCAATTAAAACTCATATGTTCCAAAATAAATCGATGTATAATATCGGTAATATCGTAACTAAAATGGAACCTTAATTGTTATAAAGGGCATAACTATAGATGTGCCATTTATATGATATCCGAATTTTTTTTCGCGTATAGTACGTAGTTGTATAGTGTGTGTAGCATACATAATACTCATAATACACGTAGCATTTATAAATCAGTTATATGCAACATTGAGTGCAAGGAACAATTTTTTGTTAGAATGCGAACGACATTTTTATAATCAAAATTTTGAAATAGTGATATAACACAATATTTGAACATCGAAAATAATAAACTCAGTTTATCCCCGCCACCTAAGCAGTTTCAGTAAGCTTCTCATTTTAAGTAATTGCACTATATAAAACTGGTATTTACTAAATTTTTAGTCTTCATTAATTTATATTTGTTATGATTTGAACTATATACTTTATCTTGCTTCGTTTGAAACAAAGATCATTGGCAAAGTTTACAAAATTTGTGCTTAGCTATCAAAGTTCGTGTAAAGATATTTTATTTTCTCCTAAAAGATTAGATCCAAATTAACTCTGACAATGTTCCATATATAAATACGACAAGTATTGCGACCTACAACATTTAACCCATATGTTAGTAACGTAATTTAGGTAGCATTGCCACAAAAGTGTCCGTACTTCTAATAACCAAAGGAAATAAACGAATACCAAACAGAATGCTACGTGCTGAAAGTTTGTAATATTAAAGAATTCTTAGTTCATAATATCTAAAAAATATTTCTAGAACAGTTCAATCTATGTTTTTGAAAAATTGCTATAAATCATAATTAGAAAAAAAAATAAATTATAAAGATATACATACATTTGTAAAAGATTTGTTATGCACAAGTTAATACCTCAATATAGATACGTTTTATGCACAAAAAAATTTTTTTTAATTATGTCTATGAAATATGTTAAACATACATATGTGAGTTGAATATGTGCGTTATAACACCCAAAAATACCCATTAAAAAAAACCGATCTGATATGTAACGTGAGATTGAAGAAAATAGCGATGTTTCTAAAAAATCGCATGTAGCCCATAATTTTACTTATGAAACCACCTTATATGTTCTAATAAAAAAAAAAGTTCATTCCAAAATTTTGATATAAGAATGTTCTTTTTTAACACTCTATCTTAATCACTCTATCCTAATCTATTTTACCACTGACCCTACCCTTACCCTAAATTAACATACATATGTTAAATAATAAAATTCTAATTTCTAACCCAAATTTCATTTCGAACAAAATCTATGTGGTTTACTACTTTAATAATAATAATGATACACGTCAGTTATTGGACAGAAAAATAAGGAAAAAAGTCGTCAAGATCAAGAGTCGACAAATACGGAGGATTTATAGCACAAGAGTTATCATTAATAACTCTGTTCCCAGCCTTTGCTAGTTCTTCCGTTAAATAATTATTGTTACAACAAAGTTCATAACAAGGAATAGTTATAGGCCAATCGAAAATGCTAACTGCAAATTGACTTTCTTCATTAAAAGCCAATTTATTTCCGGTGAGAATCAAAACCAATAGAGAGGTATTATTATCAAGAGAATCTAATAATGCTTTTCCTCCTTCAAAATTAAGATTATTATTACTAATATCTAAAAATGTCAGAGTATCATTCTTGCAAAGTGCTTCTGCGATTGATTTTCCTTCTTCGGTGCCAAGTTGATTAAAACCGAGGTTCAAATGAGTTAAATTAATATTTTTACAAAGAGCTTCTGCGAAAAATTTTGCTCCTTTAGGACAAAGTTTATTATTTCTAAGATCCAAAGAAGTTAAAGTATTATTTATATAAAGAACCTCAGTCAATGCTTTTGCACCTTCATGACCAAGTTCGTTACTACTAAGATCCAAGGAAGTCAAAGTATTATTCTTGTAAAGTGCCTTTGCTAATTCTTTTACACCTTCAGAACCGAGTAGATTTCCAGAAAGATTCAAAAATGTTAAAGTGCAATTATCATAAAGAAATTTTGCTAATGCCTTTCCACCTTCAAAACCGAGATGATTCCAAGCAAGATTTAAAGATGTTAAAAAGCAATTATTGCAAAGAAACTTTACAATTATTTTTCCACCTTCAGAACCAAGTCTATTCCCAGTAAGATTCAATGAAGTTAAAGTAGAGTTTCCGCAAAGTGTTTCTACTAATTTCTTTAAATCTTCATAAATAAGTATGTTATTAGTAATGTCCAAAGAGCTTAAATTCGTATTTGTACTAAGTACATCCACCAATAATTTTTTAATTCCTTCAGAATCAAAGTCATTACATTCAAGTCCTAAAGAAGTTAGGTTGGTGTTTATATTGAGAATTTCTATCGTCTCGACATCAATAATTCCATAAACTTTTAAATTTTTAAGTTTGTTACATTTTCGTAGAAACATTTTGATCAAGGAAAATTTAACAGCACAAACTAATTCATGAGAAATAATTGGAATTAGTTTACATAAAGTATATGAATGATGTTGAACTAATTCAGATGGAAATGGATTAAAATGTAAGACAGAACTAAGCCATTTTTTGATACTAATAACTAAGTTATAACCATCAATAGAAGTAGCATAAGTTGTATATTTAAATAATGGTATTGAAAACTTTGGAAGCCTTATATTTAGTGGGATAAGTCGTTTTTGGTCCTCAGCGTTTAATGATAAAAAATACATCATTATAATCCTTTCATCAACGAGATAATCTAACGGTTTACTCCACAATATTGTTATTGCAATTCTACACCATTTCCGATTTACAAGAAGGCATGAAAATAAACTTCCACGATATTTAACAAGGTCATTGAAATAATTAAATATTTCATGAAGGCATTCATTTGGAAGCTGCGAAATCATTCTGAATGGTTAAAGTTTGAGTACGTATGTACGTATGTAGTACGTAGAAAAAAATCAATAAATACATGTTACCGTACCGTACCACCTTCCCTTATAAGTAATAACCTGTACGATTACATAAATGTCTTAAATGTGTAACATTAAACGTACGATCCTTTTTAAGTAAAAGTTATATGATTTTTTGTTTATTCATTTTTAGAAATTATGGTTAGACATATAGTAAAATTGTTTAAGACTTTTTTTTTTTGTTAGAGCGCAAAAGGTGTGATCATGTTACGTTACATATGATCTTGAAATATGTATACGTAAAATACTACAACGAAGAGGCTTAGACGAATCCGGATCGGGACTAGCGATGTTACCTAAACTATTTGGGACGTCTGTGACGAATAACATCACACGATTTCAGCAATAACACAATGAAGAGGTAAATACCTTATTGATTACATAATTTGGGACGTCCCAAGCTAATCGGGACTCTATTCTGTGGTACAAAAGTAAGTACGTATGTAAGGACATGCAATAAATATACAGATAAAATACTAACTTGCATAATTCCTTTTAACTTGCATAATTCCATTCAAAATGATATTTTTACCAAACGAATGCCTTTTTGAAATATTTAATAATCTTAGGAATTATTATAGATTCTTGTTTTCATGCCTTCTTGTAAACCGTCAATGGTGTAGAAATGTAGTTCCAATATTATGGAGTGAACCATTATTACATTGTCAGGATAAAGAACTAATAAGAATATATCTTTTATCATTGAATAACAAAGAAATTACATCATTAATTCCATTAAATATATCACTTCCAAATTATTCAAAATTATTATTTGAATATACTTCTTATACTACATCAATCGATTTCTTTAATTTAGAAATAGGTGTTGCAAATTGGCTTGGATACAGCCTTTTTGATTATTATAACATATACCGAGTGGAGTGTACAATAGGTAGATTAGTTAAACATTTGTTAATTACAATGTTATTACGAGCAAGTGAGAAACTTACGTATCTGCAGATAAATCAATTCGATAATAAAAGCAAAATTGTAAAATCATTAAAAGAAGTTCTTTATAAATTCACAACTATCACTTGCTTAAGAATTTGTCGAAATAAGTTTAGTTTAGAAGAAATAGATGTATTATCAAATGTTCTTTGTATGAATGCTTGCCTAACCTCATTAAGGTTAGATTATTGTGAATTTGGAATTAAAGAAGCAAAATTGCTAGCAAAGGCACTTTCAGAAGCTTTTTACAAAAATGTGAAATTCACCTCTTTATATATTAGTTATAGTAAATTGGGTTTTGAGGGTATGCAATCACTTGCAAATTCTCTTTGTAAAAATATTACTCTGAAATCTTTGAATCTTGATGGTAATGAACTTGGAATTAATGAAGGCAAATTATTAGCTGAAGTTCTTAGTAGAAATAATACTATAACTTCCTTAAATCTTTGTAACAATAATTTGGGTTTTGAAGGAATAAAAGCAATATCGAAGGCTCTTTGCGTAAATACTGGTTTAAATTCTCTAAATATTGCATACAATAAAATTGGTTTGGAAGAATTAAAAGTGATAGCAAAAGCCCTTTGTAAAAATATTTCTTTAACTTCTTTAAGCCTTAGTTCCAACAAACTTGATTTTAAAGATGATAAGTCATTAGTGGAAGCTCTTTTTAGAAACACTACTCTTAAAGATTTGATCCTTTATAATAATTTAATTGACTCTGAAGGAGCAGAAATGATAGCAGAAGTTCTTTGCAAAAATGCTAACTTAACTTCCTTGAATCTCGGCAAAAATCCAATTACTTTTAATGGTATAAAAGCATTATCAGAAGCTCTTTATAAAAATACTACTTTAACTTCCTTAAAGATTGGCGATAATAAGCTTACATTTTTGGGGATAGAAGCATTATCTCATGCCCTTTGTAATAACAACACTTTAACTTGTTTAGGTCTTTCTAACTGCGAAGTTTGTTTTGAAGGAATAAAAGTGTTAGCAGATACACTTTGTAAGAACACAACATTAACTGATTTAGACCTTTCTAGTAATAAATTTACTTTTAAAGAAGGGCAGATCTTAGCAGAGGTTCTTTGCAAAAGCACTTCTTTAACTTATCTAAATCTTAATCATAATAAATTTGGTTATGAAGGAGTAGAAATATTAGTAAATGCTCTTAATATAAACACTACACTAGTTCGTTTAAATATTCATGATGATCAAGTTAATCATGAAAAACGCCGAATATTGGAAAAAATTGCTTATAAAAATTATACTAGAATTTCATTATATTTATAATTTTAAAATTTTTAGATTTTTAGTTAATTATTAAGACAAATTATTATATTTGACTTATTAATTAAGTATTTTAATTAATCATATAATTATGGTTTTAAGTTGGTATATTTAATATATTATATATAGTATATATAAAATGTTTTATAAATTGCGATGTATATTTATTATTCTATATATTATCCCTTAATCTGTAAGCTTTTCCAACCAAATTTGCCTGGAAAATTGTTAAAAATATACTTATAATCTAATTTTTTAAATTTTAAAATATTTAAATAAAAATTTTATTTAATAATATTTGAAAATAAGGATTATATTATAGCAATATTTAATTTTATATTATAAGTAAAAAAATATATGTTGCTTATAAGCTAAAAATAGACAAATTTAGAACAAATTTTTAATCAAAAAAATTATTTACAAATTTTTGATGAACTCTTTAAAATTAAATTTTAGCCTATAGTTCTTAATAAAATATTTTAGTTTATATAAAGAATGACAATTTTTATTAATAATACTTTTGTAATTTATTTATAAAAATTTAGACTTGTACAAAGTATAAAAACTTTTTTAGTTTTGAAAACATATGAAATTTTAAAAAATCTTGAAAAATTTTTAATAGTAAAAATTTTTAAATATAATCTTTAAAATTTTAATACATTAAAATTTATCAATATTTTGAAAAAAGTTTTATAATAAAGTTTATAAAATATGTTTTTAAAAATATATTTCTTAAGCAAAGTATATCCTATATTATTAATAAATTATTATTTTATTTAAAAAATATTAAATACAATTTAATTTTTCAGGCAAATTTGCTTAGAATACAGTTTAAGGGATACATGCATACAACAAAATTTTTTAAAAAAATATACATTTAATAAGATTGTATAAAATTAAAAATACAGTTATGTATAACATGTATGAACCCATTACGAATAGCAAAGTGACCAGATAATCTATTATACAAGAATATTCCAAATTGAATTATTTTTTTATATATGGTAAATTAAACATAATAGTAATCGAAGACTTATGGTTTTATTAATATTTTCACTTGAGATATTTCATAAATAGGAAATGTTAATGCTATAAATGTGCAAAAGCAGGAGTTTATCTAGTGTAATATAATGTATGTAATCTAATGTATGTAATATAAAATTATTTAAAAAAAGAAAATATATATATACTGTATATGACCAACTTATTCCAACATAATAACAGTAATTAAATATCAGAAGAACATTTATATTTTAATTTTTAAATTGAGGTTTTTTTTATGCACTAAAGGTAAATACTTTATATAAAAAATTTTAATATATCAATAAATTTAAAGCAACACAATTACATAGGTCTGTTTATTTATTTATCTTGAAGAAAATGCCTTCATGAATCCTAAAAAATACACTATTCATAGATATATATATTTGATAATTATTAATTTTATAATTTTTTTTTTTTTTTTTTTAATCTTTGGCAGCCTTGCCGTAAACCTTTATTAAGATTCTTGTATCTATATTACATACATTTTAACTTAAGTTACTGGTCTGACATCCTCCAGCTGCTTCTTTGAGTGCCCAGAGGCGGTCTGCCACACTGGTTGGGGATAGGAGCTGTACCAGACTAGCCAGTGAGGCCATATGTAAATGGCCTTAATTTACTATGAATAAAATTTGCGATTGAGCCAGACCATGCCTTGTGTATT